TCACAAAATTTTATACGTATGGTTTTGTCTCTAACACTTATTCGAATGCTCGTTGGAATCATTTGAATAAATAAAATAAAAGCACAGAACAGATGATTCATTTTGCACAAGTAGCAAATAACAAAAATGTAAGACACTTACCTTACGATTTCTCTGCCATTGCCCGATGCCGTCTAGGCCTGCTCCTCCTCTCAGATTTTCTTGTTGCACTTACACTCACAGCACTCACTCGCGCGAAATTTCGGACACTCCCGTACGCGATGTAAAATACCGTGAAATGCAGCAAGCGACGTTCTTTACTCCCTGCTCGTTCGAATTGCGAAGAACGACAGAGTAAACGACAGAAATTTGTGCGAATTACGCCGTGAATGCCGAAGTCGCACAAATTTCTCTCCCCGAAAATGGAACAGATTACACGAAATCGATAGATAGTTAAAAGCGCGGTGCGTAAACGAGATGTAACCGCGACAAAGTACCACGGTTTACATTCATGTTTTAGATGAGTTGGTCTCGTGAAATATCTATATACACGTTGATAAAGAGCGGTCGCTTCAACATGCAATTCGTTTCTCATTACAAGTTTTAGAATCTTAATAATTAATCGAGTAACGTTACTTGTCACTGATAAAGGTGTACAAATCAATAGCGTTTTAGCTCTATATTCTTCGCGATTGAGTCTTGGAAACCGGTAACGTAAAAATAATATCACGCACGGAACAACTCTCGCTGCTGCCTGCCGGCTCGACGTTCGGCGAGCGAGTGATAAGTACGGAATTTTCTATTACGTAGATGGGCCAACGAATTCTCAACACAAAAACCAACGTTTTTTTGTTGTTTTTCACTCGGCGCGGTATCGTACGACGTCACGCGGACCATGGTTTACACCAAGGTCGCTGCGCAGTCTCTCACCGAACGTCGAGCCGGCAAGCAGTGGCGCGAGTCGCTCCGTGCGTGGTATTGTTTTTGCGTTGTCGGTTTCCAAGACTCGATCGTGAAGAATATAAGGATAAAACTATTGATTTGGACTCCTTTATCAGTGACAAGTTACGCTACTAGATTAATTATTAAGTTTCTACAACTTGTAATGAGAAACGAATTGCGCATTGAGGCGACGGCTCTTTATCAACGTGTACATGGATATTTTACGAGATTAACTCATCTAAAATATGAAAGTAAACCGTGGTACGTTGTCGCGGTTACATCTCGTTTACGCACCGCGCTTTTAACTATCTATTGATTTCGTGTAATCCGTTCTATTTTCGAGAAGAGAGAGATATTTGTGCGACTTCGACGTTCGCGCTGTAATTCGCTCTGTTGTTCTTCGCAACTCGAACGGGCAGGAAATAAAGAACGTCGCTTACTACATTTCACGGTATTTTACATCGTGTACGGGAGTGTCCGAAATTTCGCGCGATCGATTTTTGCGAGTGAGTGTGTGAGTGTAAGTGCACCAAGAAAATCTGACAATGAGAGGAGGAGCAGGCCTAGACGGCATCGGGCAACGGCAGAGAAATCGTAAGGTAAGTGTCTTAAATTTTTGTTATTTGCTACTTGTGCAAAATGAATCATCTGTTCTGTGCTTTTATTTTATTTATTCAAATGATTCCAACGAGCATTCGAATAAGTGTTAGAGACAAAACCATACGTATAAAATTTTGTGAGTTCATATTTAAAAGGAAGACTTTCAGTATTCTATATAATTTTTTGAATAAATACCCATTTTTTTAATATAAAATATAAAGTATGTTTGATACAATAGTTTCGATTTTGCATAATTAGTCTATAATAATCGTATACATTTTTGTATTGTTACAGTGTAACATGTATAGTTGGCGATGTACAACTTTGCTGTCGCGAACCGAATCAGTGAGTGACAAATTACTTTTTATTTTAAATTGACGTTGCGCATACAATTACTTCTTCGCGTGTATACAAATTCTTAAAAATATACAATGCTTGACCACAAACTGCGCGCGCGAAGCGCGCGTTTTGTCGTTTCTAGTGAGATTAAATTATCCCTTTCTCTATCATTCGCGCTATATCGATCCTATTTTATGCCACGTTCAAGTGTAATAGCATTGGATCCGGAAACTTCCTTCTGTGGGTGCAAATTCACACGGGAAGGCATCGGTGATTCCTAGTGTGCATCAGAATAGACACACTGAAAAGAAAATTTTCGCTACCATAGCTAATCATGGCTTGCTTGAAATATTTTGCTGCCAAAACTATAAATTTCTAAACCACAGCAAACGGGTTTGCTATCGCATCTAATACAATAGGCACAGTAGCAAAATATTTAGCTATCGCAACTAAATAGTAGCCGTCCATATTTTACAACTGAAATTTAGTTGCCACAAGCAGTTCTTAGCTACGGCAACTGCATTTTTCTTTCCGCGCAGAGAAATTGCACGATTCTCATCAACTTCTGTTACATTCTCCGATCCCGACGACTTGACGGTTTATCGAGCGATTTATCGAACTACGCGAAAAAGAACGGAAATGAGGATATTATTTGATCACTCGCGATTGATGCCAGCTCTCGCGGCTGGCGGTCTTAATTTTGCGAAGCGACTCTCTTCCACGAGGGGCCCGACTGCGAGACGACCGGAAAGTCGCTTGCACCCGATCGAAGGCCTCGGAATCTTCCGCGGCTCGGACCTTCCGCGTCAACAGGTCGCGTTTAATATCGGGCCCCGAGATTTACTTTCGCTCCGGGCGATTTTTGCGCGTCGCGAATGCCGTTACACCTGCAAAAAAACAGACGCTAAAGAGAGACATCCAATGGAAAAAAGTTTATTCTATTAAAACTTGAACTTAACGGCTATTTTCAGATGCGAAGGCATTCGTGGCGCCGAGTGTACGCTCCGGTACGCGTCGAGTATCCGCGCCGAACAACCGCGGAAAGTCGCCTTTCGCCGTAAAAATGTTGGCGAAGACGCGCGGGGGCCGCTGGAAACGGCGCCGTAAGTTCGCGGAGCGTCGCGAAGCGGGGAGCCTCGCGACGTAGCCGCGCCGTTAGGGGATCATGCAGTATCGTTCTCGCTTACCTTCCGCCGTCCGCTCGATCGTCAGCCCCGCCGTGAGGAGATAGAGAAGAGACACATCCGTCAGCTAGTCGTCATGCTAACCTCCCGTCGACGATCGCCGCCAGCACCGCGATCAACACCTTTGCACACTCACTGACTCGACCGCGCGTCGCGACATATCATCGTCGGCGATCGGCACATCTTTCGCTCTCTCTCTCTCTCCTCGTTTCCTGCTTCCTTCGTCGCGGCGGAGAATCTTTCCGGCGGGAGAAGCGCGGGCGCTCGCGCGAAACGGAAATCGGGTGGGAAAAGGAACGTGAAAGGGCGTCGCGGGGGACCGCACTCTGAGGCGTGTTCGCGCGAATAATCTCGCGTGCCACACGGATCGCGGGATCGCCGTGACGTGAGCGCTCGGAGTATGACGAACGGCACTCTGTAATGAGGAGAAGAGCCGCGGACGCGCCGCGCGTTCGAACGGGTGAAAAAACAAACGGAAGAGATACCTACGAATAATTCTACGCGGCTACACGACGTCGCGCCCTCAAGCGCGCTCGCTCCACGGTCGCTACACTAACTGCCGCGGCACCACTTAAATTTCGAGCCAGCGCGCGCGCGCCGGCCAATCAGCGGCGGGCGCGCCGCCGTCCGCGCCACCCGCCGGGCCCGGCCACTGCGCAGGTCCGCCTGTTGCCCGCCACGGCTCGCGCTCCCCCGCTGAAAAACGAGTTTCTTTATCGAGCGCGATGATGGTACTTTTAATTCCTCTTGTTTTTTTCTTTCCTTTCTTCCTTCTCGCTCGGCGGACGTCTCTCATTAGTGCACTCCGGCTCTGTATGCAAATCGGAAAAATCGCGTGAGATATTTCGAAGACGCACGTCTCTTTAAAATTGACACTCTAAAGTTGGCTCGGCCGGTTCTTTCGCGCATTTTTAATATACTATTTTAGTAACAAGAATTTATATTCTCGGGTAAATGAATTGTAGGATTTTTTATAATATTGATCATTAAAATTGCCACACTCTCGCAGACGGAATTTATGACGATTTTATTTCGGAATCAAATTGTGCCTCGGAACGACCAGTGTTCTAATTTTCTGTGCGAGTCAGCGTAAGTCGACGAAACAATGTCTCGATATTCGCAATAAAAACGTTTAATGTAATAGATATTTTTTTTGTTGAACTATATCGATCGAAATTATGCTCTTTGTTAGCGAGCAAAAGTGAGGATTTTGTATCAAACAATGATTTTTAAGCACTGATAAGGGAGAGTAAATGAAAACAGGAAATCTCTTACGATCTAAAACGTCATTTTGCAAGTCAAATATTTAAATGTTTGTATGCCTTTGAAATTCCCAACAAGTTATCTTTTCCTTGTATTAAAAAAAGAATAAAACGCCTAAAAGTACATTTGAAATCTTTTAATAATAATTGTAAAGATTGTGAGAAATTAGTAAATATAAAAACTGAATAAATTGAGCTTTTTCATGCAGCCATTTTAGTAGAGGAAAAACAAAACTAGAGTCCCTCTAATCACGCCGTCTGGACACCAGACGGCAACTTTTCATTGGTCTTTTTGGCAACTCTCGAAAGAAAGAGCAAGCGAAGAGGAATTGGGAAAAAGCTGAAAGAGAAAGAGAGAAATAGCGAATGAACGTCCTTTCTCTCGCAGAATTATACCAAAACTGTTGGCCGGCTCTGATTATATAATAGAAGCTCTAAACGGAACGTACTTTTAACGCCATCTCTTAGATCACATTCAACTTTCTTTAGACCTTAGAGACCACTTAGAGACCTCAGACTCAAAAGACATTAGAAGAGGAAGATTACTACAAAAATTAAGAGTTTATTTCACACTACAGATATTAGAAGTATAAAAAAATTTGCAATATCCAATCCTTTTCAATCACTCTGTAAAATTTGAAATTGCTCCTCTCTTTCGCTTTAATTAGTTCGATACAAAATGAAAACTCGCATGTTAAAAAGGGCAACTTTTATTATACAAAAAGTCGATCGTTTGTACAAAAAGGTGTATCCTTATATATTACATCGCTTACAGTGAACCCAACGTTAAAACGCTTTGCTCCGGGATATGAGTGGCTAATTGAAATAATTGGTGATTCGCGTGACGCTTTATAATAAGGAACATACGAACACGCGGCTGCGATATCATTCCAACATCGATTCACTTAAAAGCGATGACAGCTTCGCATATCTATCTGTCCTACGATCACATACTTCATCCAAGCAAAACCGTAACAATATTCTCAACACACATTTTACTACCTTCGCACCTCACACATGCAAACTAGCAAATAATAGATATACATATATATATATATATACATATATTATGCGCATCGTTATCTCGCTAAAAAAAGGGGGGGAGAAGAAAAGAAAAGATCAACGTGGCACTTTCTCGTAGAGTCGTTGCACTCTCGCGGAGAAGATCGGCAAAAGTAGGAAACAAGTACGAGCAAGCCTGAGAAAATATACGGACGTGAGACGACATTACGGCCTCCTTAAATTTGTCTCGAAAGTGAATCGGACGAGAACGTGACAAGGATATCTTGCAAAACGTGTTACAATCATCATTACGTCCTCCGTAAGCCCTTCAAACCAAGTTGAAGATCCATTGTGTATAAATTACATAATTGTCATTAACCACCGGTCTGCCAAGGAAAATGGGAGACACTTCTTAAAAAACCAATCCTTCACAGTAATCATAAATATCTATAAATCTTTTCGACAATCTGACTATTGTCATGTTTCTCTCTCCTAATATACATACTCTCGCAAGGCGGTTACTTTTCCGAATTTGCTATTAAAATTTATTAATACTCAAAAGACGAGCGATAACAATCTTGATAGACCGGCTGTCAATTTATTTTACCGGCATCTCAATGCGGACGAGCGTTCGGTGTTCGGCGGCAAACAATAACGTAACCGAACTTGATCGTTGCGAAGCCGAACTGGTACATTACAGCGTAAGGAAACATCGGTGAAAGAACCTAATCGAATGCTTACCCCACCACCGTTTTGCATTTGTACTTTTACGATCCCGCGCGCGTTGCGGCAATCAATTTCGCGGCGAACTGACGCGTAGAACTGTATGATCGACGAGACGATCGCTGCCGTCGTTATCATAGCCGTCGTATTCGTTCGCGAAAAATCGTAAACACCTAAAGAATTAAGCTAAATCGCATTAGGGTTACGACGAGGTTTGAGCTGCCAGCATCTCCTCCTGCTGTATCTTTCTCCGGTAGTTATCCAGCGTAACTTGTATAGTCTTCTCCGAGTAACGGCAGTTTTCGGCACCGCAGGTACATGTGAAGGACTTGCACTTTATTATCCAGAATTTCTCGCCGTAATCGAAGCTAAGGGCAAACAGATCCATATTGATCTATGCGGTGTTAACAAAAGGGAACGTGACGTAAAAACAAAATTATAAGATTGTGATGTGTCAACATTTTTAAAGATACCGTCACCTTAATCCGTCGATAGACTAGATACGTAAATATGGCAAATTATGCGTAACCATTAGAAATCGCGTTAGATAAAGAGAAAGATTAAATGTTAGAATCTTGTCGAAATCGCGTCAAGAAAATTAAGAAGGTAATTTCTCTCGTGACTGTTTCGGATATCTGGAGAAATAAATAACAAAATGAAAGAATTAATGCAAGTATAATTTTCTGACAGATTATAAGGGTTATTTAATTAACATTTATCAAATATCTTTATTAGGTAAACGTATAACATTTTATTAGTCTACACTTAACAAAAAGTAAAAGAATACTTTGCTATTAAAGTATATACTTGAACCACGACCGAGAATTAAAAGACGAGGTATGTAAGAAAAGAAAGCTACAACTACGTGCTATTGATTGAACCCAAAAAAAAAAACGGAACGTTAAACTTATTTAAATTTATTAATGGAAATTACTATGCAACAATGTGTTCCTGTTAGTTAATTTAGAAGCTCAGCGAGTGTCTCTAATCTCCGGCGTTGCAATAACTTGAACCGCTTTTTAACATACCCGAGCTCTTCATCTGCCTCGATGTCGCGATTAGCAAAGAAGGCTATTCTTGGAAAATGCAAATCCTGATGTTCGACGAACACTCGCACTGGCAACAAATTCGGCGCGCACGAATGATTAATGAACCGAGCAATATTCCCGTAACGTCTCGCATCTATACAGTACGTTTCTCCATCCTGCACATAAAGTAATATCTTTTATTCACAATCTAAAATAGGCTTGTAGATTCAATAATTTGTACAACACCAATTAGAAACACTTATAAAGAAACGAATTATAAATCTGTAGAAGATTCGAAACAATCTTCTATTTTCAGAAAGGCGTGTCCCAAATATTTAGAGTAGCCGAAACAGCTCTTTTTTTACTCATCTCAGATTATATACTTTTAAACGTAAGATTAAAACTTTATATAAAAATAATGGTTGTAAAAAATTGTTAAAAAAAATAGTTTGTCAAAAGAAAGATTCGATTTTGATTCTCTGCATATAAAAAATTTTCAGTAAAAGAATCATGATAGAAACAGATCGTAAGATAATTAAGTAACGAATCACAGTACTAATAACTTGACGGTAAAATCCAAGAGGAAAACTATTTCCTAAGAGGGAATTACGGAAGCAATGTAGATATGTGCAGATATTGGAAACAAAACTACTTTACTTCTTTCTAAACCAAAGCAAAAACTTACTCTGTTGTCCAAATCGAACAAGTAGGAGTCATCCTCGCGATGATCAGCCTCGGAATCCGAGATTATCTCGCCGACATACTCGCAAACATAAGTGCCTTTAGGAATATGCCGAAGAGTTCGGAGACCCCAACCCTTGCCCTTTGTGCGGAACAATTGAAACCGTTGCGTCAGTCCGTGCTGAATCACTCGGTTGTTGCATGTAATGCGGTTACAGTCGCAAGCCGGATTGCATTCAAACAACATTGGTGGATCTATGACAGAAAATGTTATTTGGTAAAACATCAACCTTGATAAAATCATTTTCGTAGAGTAAACTCTTCCGTCATTGATTCCACTTCTGGGCTTGTTATAAAAGGCTCCTCTGCTCTTACGAATAAGAGATCTTTGATATTTTTGAAACGTTGATATTTAAATGAGGGTACCTGCATAATTAAATTCTGGTATGAGCTTTCCCTCCTCATCGTACCAACATCGCAGGCTTATATTTCCGCATAAGCACTTTTCGGAACTGCAGTTATCCTCGCATCGACAAGACTGCAATGATGTAATGGTGCGGTCCACGTTGATGTTGCTCGTGAAACAATTCTCCGTTACATAAAGAAAGTCCGTCGGCTTGTCCTCAGAATCGTATCCGTTGACACACTGTATAGGATTCGTTTCCTTTCCGCGTGAAATGTCGCTGTAAAAAGAGAGAACGGATGATACAAGAAAATTATCATAGAACAAAAATCAGGCAAAGCGACCTTTTATTCATCGTACACATGATGTAATCTTTGATGTTGTAACTCAGTTGACGCAATAATCTCGACAGAAATTGCGTAATAAAATTTCTTAATACACCGAACTCTTTCATAAAAAGTTACGTTATGTCACTCGTATATTTTTTTTATATAGATAGCCGTGCTGTACTTGATAAAATTCCGTACTTACTTCGTCAATATCTTAACAGTCTTCTCCCACATATGCTCGGAGAGTTCGTTGACTTTCGCGTTCAATCTCAAAGCAGCCATAGTGTCGCCGTCCGTGGCGCAACAGTTCACCGCGGTTTCGCCGGCAGCATTCGCCTCTCCTATTTTTGCACCGCGCGCTAACAGTAAAACACTGACTGCATATTGATCCTGCCTAGCTGCTATGTGTCTAAAGAAAGAAAAAATCAAATGTTATATCTTATAATTAGAGAATCGTCTCAATATTTCAAAGCTTGTTCAACACAGCTGCTGTCATGACACGTGTTTCTGTTGTGTTCGCGTAATATGGGAAAATAGAAATAAAATAAAGAAAATTGTCAGGACCGTCTTTACAATCTTTACAAGAGACACAAGACGTACAAGGGTGTGTCGCCGTGGACATTGACGGCGTTCACGTCGCATCCCTCGTTGAGAAGCATCTCCGTGATTTCGGAACTGCCGCTGAAGGCACTCCAGTGCAACGCTATATTTTGCTCGGCATCGCGAATAAGCGGATCGCACTTCTTGTCCAATAAATACCGCGCGACATCCGCATGACAGAACTCACACGCCCAGATTAAACTTGTCCAGCCGCCGTCGTCCACAGAATCTGCAAGTGAAAACGTCGAGGAATTAAATAAGGCGCTCTAAAGGGTGAACAACGGATTGTTTACACGTAAATGCGGACTCGGCACAGCACACATTACCTACTAACGTTCTCGGCACTTTACACTCAGTCAGAATGATTTTGCAGACTTCTAGGTGGCCGGACTTGGCAGCCATATGCAGGGCGGTCATACCGTCCTCGCCCTTGAGCGTCACATCGGCGCCTATCCTGACTAGGTACTTAACCACGGCAGCATTACCCTTAATCGCCGCCAGCATCAGCGGCGTCAATTGGTTCCTATCCATTACATCTACTTGAGCACCAGCTTGAACCAGAACGTGTACACACGACAAATGTCCTTTATCCGCCGCCATGTGCAGACTGGTCCGGTGAGCATAATCCCGGAATGTGTGATTTGCATTGTAGCCACATGCTGGAAACCATAAATCGCACATTATAGCGATATGATAATTAGGCTACCAAAGTAACTGGTATTTTCATCATTTGCTGAAAGTATTGTATAATTTATGTAGGATTCGAATCGAAGATTCTAAAAGGACTTTAAATAATAAATCTTCATTTAGCTTCTTTTATATACATACATATATGTATTTACTTGACTACAGCTGGCATTTTTAATAACGAGATTTAAGATGAATAGATAGGAATACGATTTCCAAGCTCGGAAATTTCCAGTTTTGCAAACTCACTTATCATCGATTCATTTTGTCCTATTTCCCGCCAGGCTTCCACTCACCTAGTACGTTCACCAGCTTTTCAAGATCCCCATTCTTCACGGAGGTGTAGAGACTCATGATGGTGTAACGCTCCGGCCTCTCGGTATTAATCGACGGCTCGGGTATCTTGATAACATCGGGCTTGATCAACGGACTGGGCGGTCGCTCAGCCAGTTTGGTGTTGTCGCCTTTCCCAGGTAGGCTCATCTTTGCCGACGGCAATTTGGAAAATTTTTTACGCGTGGGAATGAATACCGGCCGCCGCATGCCGTTCATCGTCACCAGCACATCGTACGCAGCTGTCTCGCTGCCGCAGTGCGGACAGACGCCCTTCTTGTTCGGGTAGATCTCGCACTCGCGGTGATACTGGTGACCGTTGGTGCACTGCACGAATCTGCCTTGGGAGCAGAACATGCCGCAGGAGGGACAGCAGTTGTGGCGCAGCAGTCGTTCCTTGTGCATACGGCAGAGGATGATGAAGGGCACGCGAGGGCTGGGCCGCCGCATCGCCACGTCGTTGGCGTCCACCTCGTTGCAGCAGCCCACCACCCGGTTGTCGATCGAGTCGATAGCAGTGCAGTAGAGCGGCCCCCCGGAACCGGTTATCGTCACGTACAACTGAGATCGCACTTGGCACAGGCACACCATTGATTGCACGTATGTCTAAAATCGATGAAAACAAGAATGAGGATCCTAGTTGCGTTGTGTAAACATCTCTCTTCTACTGAATGGAAGCGAACTTTACTATACGCAAGTTGAGTAGTGTTTATCGGCATGTGTCGATTGGACAGGGCTTTAAGATAATTATTTACATAAATATATATATATCGATAGAATCTTTTTTTTCCACACATATGAGAATTTGTAATATTGAATAGAACAGCTTAAACAACACTAACATCACTCATGATCGCCGTCGATTCCGGCTTTGACGCCTGTCCTTCCGCGGGACTCGGGCTCGGCACCATACTCCGGCGAGTCCGTTTGACCGGTACCTCTGTGTTAAAATTGATATGAAATGGTTAATGAAATAAAATGCTGCTTCGCATATTAACAAGAGAGGACGGAGAAGTGTGTGAAACAATATACTTGGAACTTTTCCTTCAAATTGATTCTTATTCGTCTTTTTGTATCCGTTATGTCTCGTGTTGAAAAGTGAAGCTTTACCTTCGGGATAATCGTTATTCTTTCCCGCTTCAGCAACGGGCGGAGTGCCATCTGCAAGACAATTTATTGATTTTAATTACGAACAGCTGTGACCGGAAGAAGTTGCTATTTATTGCATTACCTTCGTAGAGGTCCGCCTTCGCTATCTTTCGCGCCGCTTGGGTGCTCCCGCGAGGACGTCCCCTCTCCCTCCTGGTTCGAACGGCAGGCTGGGTAGCGGGTTTCAAGAAAGGCTTCTGAATGTCCGCCAAAGGTATCTCGTCGCTGTTCAGACTGCCGATGGAGTTGCCCAGTTTCGTCTGCGGCTCCGAGTTCTTCGTCATCGGCGACAGCTTCGGCATTCCCTCCAAGTCGGCCGAGAACGGTAAATCCTCCGCAACGCTGTCGTTGACGCTGTTCTCCAATAGCGTGGTGTCGTGCGAGGACTCTAACGTCGTGTTCTCGGCCCCGCTGACACCGTCCGACGTAAGCGACGTCTCCAGCTCCTGGCGGACGTCGGAGAGCTTCGCTTGAGTCTGCTGCTTCGCCTGATCTTTGCCCGGGACAATCTTCTTGGGCCGACCCGGCTTGTTGTACTTTCTCTTCTTGAACTCATCCGTGTAATTGGACTTCTCCTTACGCGCCATAGCGCTCTCCAGCACAGTGCTCTTTACGGACTCTTTGCACAGCCTTCTAGCGGAACGCTTGGGGCCGGGAGGTTCCTCGTCCTGACGGACCGAATCGCTGAAAATGAAGGAAACAGGTTTACAAATGTCACACCTGGGTAGTCGAAGATATCGAGTGAAGAGAAAACAAGAAACCTGAGCGCTCGTAATCTGGGTCGTCCGAGTCTTCTCTTCCTGGTAACTGGCGCGGTAGTTTCCTGCTGCTCGTCACCTTCCGCAAACGTCGCCTTGACGTTGCTCTTCTCAGCATTGTTCTCCGCGGTTTCGAGCTTGTTCTGGACGGGAAGTTGCGTGTCGCTGTTGCGCTTCTCTTCAGCAGCCTCCACCTTGTCCTCGTCCTCGGTTCTCGATTCCGTCACCTCTGCAGACTCCTCGTTCGTCTCCTCCGCCTTAGTCTTCTCCGACCGAGACTCCTCCGCCTGGGACTCCTCCGCCTGGGATTCCTCAGCCTGGGACTCTTCCACCACGTCGGAATTCTCGTCCGAGTTCTCGATCTTCACCGAGACGCCGCCGATCTGATCGCAGTTGACCAGCTCGTCAGGAACTAAAGTGAGATTGGAGGAACAACTGGATATCTTGGTCTTCTTGCCGTGATCCGTATTCTCGTCGATGGTCCTGAACGTCAAGACGATCCTGGGTATGCTGTTGTCCTTCTTGACAGCCTCCTGCTTGCTCTCCTCCTCGCCCTTGTGATTCTCCTCCGGAGTCTGAGGGGCGACCTCGTCCTCCGGACTCTCGGCGACCTCCTCGCCGACGCCGTCCAGCTCCCTCTCCCCCTTGGACGCGTCGTCGACGAGCCTCGGCGGCACCAGCGACGTCACCGTCTCCATCTCCACCTTTTCGTGCTCGCCACTCTTCGCCGGGCTCACACCCTTGTTAAACTCATTCGTCATCCCCTCGAGGATCTCGTGAATACTGACCTTGTCGTCAACTTTGTCGTGGACGCCGCCAACGGCGGCGGCGGCGGCGGCCATGTCCCCCTCCCCGCCGTCGGCGCCGCCAGTCCCCGTCGCCGGTGGTGCCCGGCACCCCTCGGGCGCCGCGGCGACGAGCCCGTTGTCGCCCTCCGGCGGCGACGCTACGTCGGCCATGCCTGGTGCGCGCGCGCGCGCGCGCGACGCTACGAGCGGCTACCGCTACGAGCGGTAGGCCTGCTGGTGCTGCTGCTGCTGCTGTTGCTGCTGCTGCGACGAGCGACGACGCGCATCTCCGGAGACGTGTCTCATGCCGTCGCCACTCCGCTCCCCGATTACCGGCGCATACTCCCTCTTCCGCGTGTCCTTCGAATTATCCTTTCTTTCTTTCTTTCTTTCGCTCGCTCGCTCGCTTGCTCCTTCCGCTTCCTCCCGCCTTTCGCGAAGATTCCGGCTACCTTCTTCCTCCGGCTTCGCTTCCCACCGCCCTTCGTTTCCCACCTACCTGCCCGACGTCAACGCGCCGCTCTCCGGCGCGGCGATCGATCTCACCCCGACGCCGACGCGCTGCTTATCGGCGACGCTTATCGACGACGCGGACCCGTCGATCCTTCCTCGCCACCGTTGGCGGGACCGCGGGACGCTGCTCGCTCTCTCTCTCTCTCTCTCTCTCGCGCGCCTCTTCCCGCTACCCCTCGGTCGCAGAACGAAAGGCGTATCGCAGGCACACGTGTCCCGCTGCTCCCGTCGACTACCTTTGGCTGCTTCAAGCTCCTCTCGGCAGCCTCGGCGAGTCGAGGATCCCCGAGCCGAGGCCGCTCGACTAATCGGATCGACGATCCCGAGACGGCGCGAAGCGAAGCGGCCCGAGCCGAGGCAGCCGCGCGCTCTCAACTTCCCCGCGAAGGAACGAAAGAGGAAAAGAGAGGATGAAAAAGAGAGAGAGAGGGAGGGAGGAAGATGGCCGCGCTTAACGCTGGCGCGCGCTCGCCGACCGACCGACGGCCAGCCGCTGCCGCTGGAAGCCATATTGATTGCTCAGGGACGGCCACGGAATTGTTTTCTTTCCGCGATCCTACGGCGTCGGGTCAAATTGACCTTCGACAACGTTTAATTCGATCTCCATTCGTGCTCGTCCCGCGAGAATAATCGTCAAGAGGAAAGCGGGAGGGGAGAAGGAGGGAGAAAGAGAGAGAGAGAGAGAGAGAGAGAGCGTTGTATTAACGGTTGTAATAAAACTACGTGTAGATCGCTCCAAGTATGCCCGAAGTATGCGACAGCCGAGCCCGCGCGTACCGCGTCCGTTGTAAATTTTCGGGTGGCGGCGAGTCGGGCACAGAAAATTGGTCCTCGCAGAATCCGCGCCGTGTCCGAACGACGTTCGCCGGACCGGCGCCGTAAATCTAATATGGCACTCGCGTGCCAGGCCGATGGCGGAAACCGGGCAGAACCTGGCGGCAGAGGGAACATGGAAATGTTCGGAGTTGTTCGATTATTTCCCGGATCTCTGTTGTGTTCTCCAGGGGGAACGGAACGATTCCGGTCGTAGTCCATTCCGGACGTTTCTACGATAGGGCCTGAGCGGAATGGTCTTGTACTCTTGAGACGTAATTAGACAGTTATTGTGCGTTACCTCAAGACAAAAAGGCTTAAAACATAAAAGATTGTCTTAAGAGTATAAGACGGCCATTCGGCTCAGGCCCTTACCCGGCTGCGCTTTGGCGCTGGAATCTGCTCGGTTCCTGGCCACCGCGTCAAAGTCAGGTCGGTGGGTTCGGGATACGCGGAGAGAGAATTTTCTCTCAGAATTTACCCTGGAAATCGTGTAATCGTGGAACAACGTGGCATTTTGAAGAACTTCATGAGAGCTTTTTGAAATTTTACCGTACATCCCTAGCGGAAAAAACATTTCTATAAATAACTACGAAAATTATTGACTTGAGATAGAAATTTTTATATCTTCGTTGAAGCATTAATTTTTTTGTAAAAATATCTACGAAATGGTACCACAAATTAAACTGTTGTGTTCTCAAATCAAGAAATTCTTGCAAGTAGTATTTTATGAAAATGTACAATCTTGTAAAAATTGGTACGAAACTTTACTAGTTTTAACAATTTGAGAAACAACAAGATCTTAAAGAGTTAAAACATCCGCTTACTTGTAGAATATTACAAAAATTAACAAGAGTGTTCCAATCCTAGCACTTTCGTGGTGATTTTTATAACACTTTTTAAATTTATGTAGAATTTCTTAGATTCTGGCAGTTATATTTTACAGTTTTGTAGAATTATTTCCGACAGGGATTTTACTAGTAATTCCCAGAGAGCACACATAGTTCTATGAATATTCTTCTGGAGTGGAAATATTCTTAATTTCAGAATATTCTATAGATTATATATAGATTATTACAATTAGAAATCGTATATTCGTAACAAAGAATAACGTTTTTAGAATACTCGTCGAGAACGTCTTTGGAATATTCGTTCAGAATAATCTTTTAATGTTCATCGAGTTTATGTATTGCACATTGTTTATTGCGTAATACACTTTATCTTATGCAAAAGGCAGTGAAACCAGTTGACCATACCGTATATAACCGACACGCTATATTCGATAGATTATTCTTTTCACATTCGAAAAAGATTTATGGTACTGCCAGTCAAATGTTCCACGAACATAAGATAAATATATAAGAATGACCTATTCCACATATTCTTGAAGAATATTCTTAAAATGTTCACAGGAGTGTCTTGTGCTATCTGGGTTATACTTGGTACACATTTTACTAATAAAATGTATGGTGCTCGCGTTCTGTTTCAGACGCACCTATCATGGAAATGTTCGGAATGGCTCAACTATTTCCGAGATCTCTGTTGTGTTTTCTACGGGAAACGGCATAATTCGGATCGGCTTCCGTTCCGAACGTTTCCACGATAGGCGCCGTATATTTCCGTCGATGATTTGTGCCCGGTGACAAATGACCCAGCGAGAAATGACTCGTCGGTGTCGATCGGCGATTGTGTCTCACTGGGCAACGCGGGCACGCTCTGAAGAACGCCCGAGCGTTCGTCAACGAGTCCACGTGTCGCGAAGCACAGCGCACATTCGCGTCTAACTTCGACGGAATGAATTCTTCCCTCTCCCCGTCCGCGCGTCATAAGTCAATACGATCCGGTCCGAAAATGGACGACGAGTTGTTGAACTTGTCGGAGAACTCGCCTTTTGTCGCGGCCAACTTCGCCGTCGCGAGCGTCAACGATACCAATCGCTTCCGCGTCATTTCTTTATTTGTATTGCATTTCGCGACCGGCGACTCGCGAAGAATCGTCCGTTTCTGGAAGGTTCGGGACCCTCGATTCTCCTTCGTCCTCGAGACCGAGAGAGATTCGTTCGCGAAGTCCGGGATTGCAGAGATATTTACGCGTCTACGTTTATCTCTCGACTCGAGGACTCTCGCGTATCTTAATTAATCTACAATGTGCGCTCTGCACCTAGAAACATTCTACTTTATATAAAAACAAATCGAAAAACTTAAAAAATTTGTCGACAATGTACGATTGTACAATGTATAATATACAATTTATCCATCTTGCAGAAAATAATTCTACAAAATTCTACAAAACTATAAGATAACTGACAGAATCTAAGAACTTGTACGTAAATTTAAACAGTGTTATAAAAATCACCATGAAAATGCTAGAATTGGAACACTTTTGTTAATTTTTGTAATATTCTACAAGTAAGCGGATGTTTTGATTCTTTAAGATTTTGTTGTTTCTCAATTTTTTTTCAACTAGTAAGGTTTGTACTAATTTTTACAAAATTGTACATTTGTATGAAACACTACTTGCGACAACTTCTTGATTTGAGAATAGCGCAAGTTGTGGTACTATTTCGTAGATATTTTTACAAAAAATAAATGTTTCAACAAAGATACAAAAATTTCTACAAATTTCTATTTCAAGTCAATTTTCGCAGTTATTTAGATAAATTTTTTCAGCTAGGGCACTTGCGCACATTTTCTAAACTTATTTACTGACTACAAAATAGAATGTTTCTAGACGCACTGGGAAAAAAAAACTTTCCGCTACCGTAGCTAATCATGGTTTGCTAAAAATATTTTGCTGCCGTGACTACACATTTCTAAACCACGGCAAACGGTTTGCTGTCGCACCTAATACAATATAGGCACAGTGGCGAAATATTCAACTGTCGCGACTAAATATTAGCCATTACAACTGGAAATGTAGTTGCCACGTGCAGTTCTTAGCTACATCTTTCTTTCCGTGGGCAAAGTGCACATTAGTAGATCAGGCTTTAACGAACGAGACCCGTTAATGAATGGAGCGTCGGCTTCTCGACAGACGGCGCGCGACAGCGAAGTCGCGTGAAATCGTGCATGTAACGGTTGTAACGTGGCGCGTTACAAAGTTCGGCCGCACGCGAAGTTCGATCGACTCTCTCTCTCTCTCTCTCTCACTCTCTCTCTCTCTCTCTTGCAGGAGAATGCAAATTAGCGTGATCTTAACATGGCGGGGCGTAAAGCTGGAAAATCCATCAGCGCCCAATGCGCATGAGCCGTCAGCGAAAAAAGAGACTTGCTTAGAGATTACGTGGCATGATACGATAAAAATATACGCTCCGAACTGAATACCCGGCGCTGGCGCGTGAGAATGCCATTATGGGTTCACATAGGAGGAAAGGAATGAAAGAGCATGGTATCTTTCCCGATGAGCGCCGCCTCTTTTTCCCCTCGCCTAGAGCGTGCATCAGAGAAAGTCAAGGGCGAGGATCCCCGATTTCGACCGTAAAGATTTAATGTCAAGTGACTCGCGGACGGTAGATTCGACTCGGAGACTTGCTCTATTTTTTTTTACGCGTCGCGTATAGCACGGCGTTTACGTTATTATAAATTGCGATAAAATTACCCTAGTAGCGCAATACATTGGCGCGATATTGTAAGATGGACGCCTTCTCTTATTTCCCAGATAGCCAGTGCGCTCGAGCAATGTATAGAAATAAAATGCACAGCTCTTTGCTAGGAATATGCATACAATGTTTGAGTGATTGCAGGCTAGCACAATGCTAACATGTTATTGTAAGTGTAAGTGCACAGCTAAAGAGAGAACACATCAAACGGACATACTGTCAAGAGTTAGCATAGATTGTTTTCAATTTTCTAACAGAATATAAGCATGTTATATCTGTTACATCTGGCCAAGCCAACAACGATACGACCATATCCAAGTAGAACCAGTTGATCATAAAAACGTCAAGATGACATTAAAATGATGAATATTACGTCATAAAATGATCGACATCGCGATTTACTTTGCAATGACTGATCTATGACATGCTGTTTTATGATATTCGTGACGTGTATAATATATTATTACAGATTACACGATCAGTCATATAGATATTACGTTTATCTTATATTACTTCAATTTATTTTTAATGTGTAATATTTAATTAACTTTGCTTTGTAAAACAAGATCATTTTGACAACATTTTGATGTCTTAAGGTAGTTATTTCGTAAAATTATTTATGTAAGAATTGTTTCAAATTTTTACTATAGATAGAAGAGTGTAGTGTAAGAGATGCGGCAACAGCGACTCAAACTACAATCTTTCGAATCTATTTTATATTATGTATTAATCGTAAGTGTATTCTTTAGAACAATATTGCATCGAGATATATCATTGTTTAATTAAATGGAAATGGCTCGTATGATAAAATCAAAAGATAAAATAAGGGGCTCAGAGCCTGAACAATTAGTAGTGTCCAAAAATAAGGCCCCTATTATTTTATCTTTTGAATATATCATTGTAACAATTGAGTGCCGGTTCCTGTCTGGAAGAAACTTTTGAGCATTACTGTCGCGAAACAGCTACGTTAATGATACCCAGTCAGAAATGACTTGAAAACCGACGTCGAAACGATATCGAAACGATGCATTTTTGGTTCCACTTTCGACTTGGCTCGAAAATGGAACCAAAAATGCATCGATTCGATATCGTTTCGACGTCGGTTTTCAAGTCATTTCTGACTGGGTAGATGTTACAAATAGGTGCTACGTTAATGATAGGTGTTACAAATAGGTGCTACGTTAATGGTAGGTGTCACAAATAGGTGCTCTCGGAGAGCCGTTTTGACGTCACCATGATGCATAAAGAGTGATCCAAAAATGATGTCATCTTGATGTTTTCACGGCTAATATGTTCTACTTGGGTAGATGCATGGCAAGATGCTAACATTGCTGTTAACAATATGAAAGCAACTTGCGCTCACACTGGCTAGTTGGAATTAGCCAATGTGTCTATTTAGCAATTGCGCTGTTAAATATTGGCCAATGCACTGCCAATATAAATCTAATATTACATAATTATTATCGTGCAGCATTTACATGTGCTCCAATATTGGCTTTACGTTGGACAATATCGGCCAATGCATTTCTAATATAACCAACACTGGATCAATATTTAGCCAATGTTTAGCCAATGCGCTGCGCCGCTAGAGTATGCACCGTGTCGTCGCGCGCGACATATTATTAGATTGTATTATACGTCACTTTATTATATGTTGTACAAAATGAAAGCAGAACGGAGGGGGGTGGATTTGCGAAGGCGGGGGAGGCGTAATTTTCAACGTGCATAAACATTTCCGAATCTCCCTACCGTTCCTCCGCGTTCGCGTTGATTCTTTCCGAAAGAAAAGCAAACGGGCAGAAATTTGTTGATAAGAATACATTAAAGTGTGTCACGGTGAATTCTTATCTATAATATGCCCGGCAATCGGAGCGTGGCGAACGATAAGTTATGCGGCGTATTAGATTCGAGTTAGAGGAAATATATATTTCTCTTCCTCGATCGGCGCAAAAAAAAAACCGGGCCCGACGTGCCTCTCGGTCGCGAAATTACGGATTAGGAATGTAAATATACGCGCGCGATGATAAAGAGTTAAATCGGGAGGAAAAAAAATTAACCTCGAAGCCTCGGGAGGCGTGCGTAATTTCTTTCGACATTTGACTCGATGCCACGATAAAACTTGAACCATGCCATAATGAAATTCTTATCTATTCCACGTTATGGTAATTACATGTAATTATTCCACCTGGCGATATATTTATTTGCGCACGTAGCAACAATAAGCAACGTGTGGCCCGCTAAAATTAATTTAAGAGGAAATATTTGTGCTTTTTTTTCTCTCTCTCTCTCTCTCTCTGGCCATTACTCGACATTTTTCAACTGGTTGACGTACGAGTGAAAACGATTGAAGATTTACATTTTTACCCTACGTTTCGTCGCAATTGGCGAGGACGACCAGCCGAATGACTTGCGCAATTCCCCTCGTCACTCCAAATAGAACGCGTCGACTCGATTGAAAATGACAAAAGCGCAACTGAAAAAATAGTAACGACATACTTTCGAAACGCTCGGAGGACGGGAGTGGCGGGGAAGGAAGGAAAGAGGGAGACGCGACAGCTCGTATAAATATAAGTTTATTTACATTGCAACAGATCCTTTTGTCAAATAAACGACAAAGGTGATTACGAGTGTAGACTTGAACGTAGTTAGAGATTAAATGTTAATTAAAAATAATAATTACAACATTCTAAAACCGTGTGTGTAACGTGTGTAATGTTCGATGCGTATGGGTGTGTGTATGTGTGTGTGTGTCGTGTGAGCGACGCCGTGCACGCCCTGCTGATTGAGTAATATACATTCGTCCTCCGTGGTAGAACTCTACGAGACGTGCTCTACCGCGACAATTATTGTGCTCCCGCTTCTTCTTTCTTACTTTTCTCCCCTTTTCTCGTCCGCGAAGAAAAGCCGAGTGTGGACGATAACGTCCCTCCCGGCTGGACTGTCGACACTGGGGGGTGCTTTCCGGCAACGTACACAGTCGACGCTGTGTAACACAGCGGAACACTTCATCTTTGTTGCTTGTCATTGTTAAACGTGGATAAAATGGTTCTCTGTGTTAAGCCCGTATCAGACTGTGGATTGAGATTTGACCAGTCAAAGCAAAATTCACTAAACTTGAGACTAGTAAAGTTTACTCCGACTGGTCAAATTTCAGTCTCATCTCAGTCTCAGTCCGTAGTCTGATACGGGCTTTACACCGTCAATCTGCGTCTCTTGCCGTTGTTGAACGAAGATAAAATGATTCTCTGCGTTAAGCCCGTATCAGACTACGAGTTGAGATTGGAATTAAATTAACATTTGACCAGTCAGAGTGAAATTCACTGAACTTGAGATTAGCAAAGTACTCTGACTGGTCAAATTTCCAATCTAATCTCAATCTCAATCCGTAGTCTGATACGGGCTTTACACCGTCAATCCGCGTCTCTTGCCGGAAAGCACCCTGGATCACGCCCACTCGTGAACCTACGACTCGCTCTCGCATTTTACACGTTGCTTCCGAATAATAGTCTATCAATATTAATAGTAAAACGTGGAAAAGAAGTCACTGTGAGACCGCGATTCGTAGTCGTACCGCAAGGCCGTCCGAGAGAAGAGAGCGAGCTTCGTTGCGTTTCGTCGCGTCTCCCTCTCCTTCGACGAAATTCTCGAAATTGACAGAAAGAAGCGTAAACGAAGGGCGGATAGGAACGGTTTACGCATTTTTCTTCGTGTACGGCACGATACACCGTGTATACTTCTCTCGCGTCGAGGCTGATTAGAAAAAACGTCGCGATCAATGCCGCGCTCCTCCGTCGCTGTACCTGTTTTCTCTTTTTTTTTTCATTTTTAATACGCAAACGATATAAAAAGTTGAGCATCGTATTTCTCGTCGCGCGTCATCGAATAAATACACATCGAGAAGAGAGTTATCGACGAAGGTGGATCGATTTGCGTCTCGCCGCGCGGAACAACCCCCTCGCGTACGTAAAACGCGTGCACGCGGGCCTCGGAGCGCCAGTCGCACTCTCTCGGTTATAACATGAATCCTAGACTAAATCCTTAATCGATTGTTTCCTTCCGCTTAGAAGAACGGTCAAGGCAAAAGAGCTCGGCGAGAATTTGTACCGAAACTAAAATCGTCCTTTCCTCTTCCCTTCCCCGAGGTTTGATCCACGCGATCTTTCGCTTTCCCGCCCGCTGGCATCTCGTAGAAAACAATTCGCTCCAAGCATTCGCGCGCCAGGTCCGATCGAGACCGGTGGCGGCCGGCGCGATTCGGCTAAAAGCTACTCGACCGTGCAGAGGTTTACGTTTACAACGACTTTAGCGTGTGAAGCGTTCTAGACGCGAAAAAGACGTTTCACCCTTTTCCTACGTTCTAACATCAATAAGGAATTCAGAAAATACTCTCCGATCAGAGACCTGGAGTACTCGGAAATCTCTCGGAGATCTGAAATATTCGCACTAGCTAGTAGTAAGTCCCCGTGTCGTCTCTTAAGGCAATTCTCGCGTCCGACGTGTCCGCGAATCCGAAAATGCGTGAAAATGTCAAATCAAGATGAAGCATTTCCCGGCGATCTCGGCCGTTTCGCACGCTAAATCGACGTTCCCGTACAAATCTTCGACTCGCGTACAACTTCGAGTTCACGACGGCTCTTTATATATATATACTTTTTTTTCATTTGGTTTATAACATTCGAGAACACGTCGTGTATACGTCCGCGTCTACACGTTCTGTGACTCGCTTCTGTGCGCGCAACCGTTGCCGGATGACGGTGCACCTCGCTACTACATGGTGCACCTGATCGCCATCCGAGTGTCCGTAGTCGCATATGGCACCAAGGAATAATAATAAGGCTTAATGATTGTAGCGGTGGGTTATGGTGGCGGAGGTCTCCTCTGAGGTTCGGGCGTGTAGCGTAGACGAGCTCGCACGTGCTGCGGGCTACCAGGCACGGAATTGCTTTCCGACAATCTTCTAGGCGGCGGCTGAGGCGGAGACGGCGAGACGTACCTAAAAGAAGCCCAGTCGTGTACACATTGTTCTCTTTCGCTCTCGTCCAAGAAGCAATGATGATTATATAATTCATAATTATTCAGAAAATTAACAGTGCGAAGTGAAATAGGACCAATGTGAACCAAGCACAGAAAACGAAACGCGGTCTTTGGTGTATAAAATCCTTTATGCCTAATTTACAACGTACTCTTTACGTCTAGAAACGTTCTATTTTATATAAACAAATGAAAACGCTTAAAAAAATTTGTCGACAGCACAGAATTGTACAATGTACAATTGATCAACTTGCACAAATTTTTTAAATGTATTTATTGGCTACAAAATAGAGTGTTGTTGATTAGGCTTTAATGATCTCAATTTCATTTCAAATGAGATTTTATACACCAAAGACTGCGCTTTGTATTCTGAGCTTGGCTCACATTAACCCTTGCCCGCTTGACACCGTTTTCATATTGTAGCCTTCGTTACACTTTAATTATTCAGGAAATTATTGTCTTTAGCAGGCAAACGGCAGGGATGCACACCTTCGCGAGAAGGAAGGAGACGCCTGATCGATCAAGTTCCTCCTAAGGGCGAGCGGAGACTCGCCGCGACTCAGTCTCGGCGGTGGTTCCGGCGAAGGAGCGCGCTCGCTGCCGAGCCTGAGGCGCACGTAGGACGCGAAGCGCTTCTTCGCGGACTCCTTCGAGCCGACGATCTGCTGCGGTGGCATCACCAATGACGACGGCGGCGACTCCTGTTTCAGTTGATGCGCGAAACGGGAGATCCACAACTGTGGACTAGTGGAGCCGTGAGATCCCTGCGGCGGTGGCTCAGAAGGAAACCTGACAGTATAAGTAACAACATTTATATGAATAATCAAACTTTTTAGTCGACATTAACCGGCCAATGTTTTAATACAGAAAATTTATTGCGAAAGCTATTACCTCGGCCAGGGTTCGAACCTGGACTTCCCTACTCTGCTCACTAGTGAGACGCTTGATTATTATTATCATCTATTACTGGCAACTTGAAGAGACTTCTATGTTTGAATATTTATATGCTTTATGATGAAACTGGACTTTGTGGACCGCAAAATATTTTTGAGCAAAATATTGCAAAGCTACACATACTAAATTATAAAATAAACTAAATAAAGCTGATTGAAAGATAAAGAATACAATTAGACTCAAATTAAATAAAATAACGAATAAAGAATGTGAGAATAAGCAGAGTATTCAATTGAATCACCTCACGTAATTATACTTCAGTAAATGTTACGTTCCAAGCGCCACATGTCTCAAAAGATAATTCCAACAACACGTTTTAATACAGGTGAATCAATTTAGGAGGCCTCCAATTACCTCTTGCGGCTGATCATCGGGCTGGCGTAGATGTTCTGTGTCTGCGGATAAGTTTGGAGCGTCGCGGGCTGCTGCGACGGTGGCTGCACGAGTCGATGCTGCAGAAACGGTGAGTGACGGCCGCTGTTGTCGTACGTGGCGGGTGGCGGCTGAATGACATTGGGCGGATCGACGTTCTCCCGCCGCCAGGGCGAATAGTCCCTGGTGAAGGGACTGAGCGATCTCGAGACACCTCCCTGCCATCGGTCCGCCTTGTTGCCACTGTCGCGCTCCTCGTAACGGCTGCTGCGATACGGGGAGTACGGTCGCCCGTTGCTGTCCAAGCTGGCGTCCTGAGTCCTGTAAGGAGAGAACGGTCTCGCCGTCGTCGTCATCGTCACCGTCACCGTCGTCGTGGTCGTCGCCGTCGTCTCCTGCCTACCCTGACCGTTCGTCGTCGTGCAGCGATTCGAAGAATTGTAGTCGTGCCTGGTGACACTCTGCTGCCGGTAGGGCGAGAAAGGTCGCGGCGGCAGATTCGGCTCCGACTGATCCGCCGCGACCTCCTTGGATATCGGCGGCGAGAATGGCCGGGCGGTCTCCTTCCGGCGAAGAGCGTACGGACTGTAGGGCACGTAGTTCGCGCCGTTCTCGCTATTGGTACGCTGATGAAACGGCGGAAAGCCACCGGAGTTCGGCGGCTCTCTGATGCCGCTGTTGACGTTGCTCCTCAGGAAGGCCGGCATCTCGGGTTGCGCCCGAAGATGAGCCGTCTGCTTCAGGGACACGTGACCCGAAACTCGCTGCTGCTGGCCTCCTGGCAGTCTGGAACTAAATGGCCAATCGAATGAAATTTTCTCGAGGAAACACTTCCCCGAGTGCGCGGTTGATTTCCCGTCAAATGTGATCTGACTCGACACGTATATGTATATATGTGTATACCGCTATCATCCTATAATCGTACCGTGATGACTCTGCAAAAAACCTCAGTCTAGAAGAGTTAATGAAAGTTAGAGCAGAACGTTAATCGTTAGCATGCAAAACGCAGATGAGGAAAGAAGTTTTCTGTTAAAAGAAACATATTAGATTCTTTCTAAACCGTGCCGGAAACTTACGGAGGACCATGCTGCGAAATCAGAGTCTTTCGTCATGTAAGTCGTGGAACGAGCTGCGCACGGCGAAAGCTTTGCGTCAAAGTGACAAGAAATCTTAGGATCTATGAACATTTTCTCGACAAAGTTAAGAAAGGAAGTAAACGATGCAATACAAATTTATACGATCGGGATAGCCACGCGATCCCCAATCCTCTTTATCGCGCTCGCACGTCAATTTCGCTGCAGCAATTTCGTCCCCCCGGTCTGCAATAGTAGATTCGCAGATTCATCTCGCGAGATCAGTTTGCAAAAAAAGAAAAGAAAAACGGCGTGTGCACAAGGGAAAAAAATTATGCGTGCATTGCGACCGAGCGGACGAGTCGCTACGCTAAACGCAACAAAAGTAGGCGAGAAGAGAGAAACGAAAATATATTGAAATAAATAAAAAAACAATGCTTACCGTGAGTGGGGGTTGAAGGGTGGGGTGTGTAACAGGCGCGTGCACAAACCAAACAACTCGAAATGAAAATTGGGCAGATTTTTGGATACTCTGAGCAGAGCGGGGTAGTCTATCTTTTCTTTTTTTCTCTTTTCTTTTCAAAGTCTCTTTCGGGGATTCTCAGGCGGTCTGTCCGGGAAGGAGCGGAGGCAGGAGAGGAGAAAGGAACGAGGGAGAGGGAGGATGCTACGCCGCGCTGCCTCCCTCAAGCTCAACGCTGCAACACAATTCAATACGCACGCAAACTTTTAATTCGAAAGAAGGAATTATAAATCAGTCAGTTTTTTTTTTTGCAAAGCAGTATCAGAGATAAATATGTACCGGATGTTCCGGGAGTATATCGCGTCTTTCTTCGGCCGTAAATTTTTCGGACGAACTCTCAGATCGATGATTCTTCAGTTGTCGACGCGCGATCAACGAGAGAATCCGCTGGCTAAGAGCCAAAGACGCCATAATTCCGGGACACCCCTCGTACAATCGTTAACGTCCAACGACAGGCCAATTCGCAAAACGCTTCGGTCCAAAACTCACTGACCGTGAATATGTTATTAAGTGCATAAAGTCTTTATAAAAATCACTCGTAAAAACGCGATTAAACCTGGTTATATTGCCGAAAGATAAACAAAATAGATAACCAAACCAGAGATCAGTATCTTTATTAGTCAGGAATCTCATGCCATGTTTAAAAGTTCGCGATCTCGCTGTCGCGCCAGCGTTCTTAATGATTGTATCATCATCCTGTCTTTCCTGTCACAATATTAAAAATCCTAGATACTATGTCTAATCTAACAAAAATAAGCGTACACCAAACAGCAATTAGCAGACCCTCGGTTCCCACCTTGGTTCCAGCTGCCGCATGACCTTGCCGAACCACTGACAGCCGGAGTTTGTTAGGGCGGAATTCGTCTCGCCGTCCTGTACAACGTCGTACTTGCGAATAAAGGGGTGCTCCATGAGCTTGGGGTACTTTGGCCGGTGCTTGTAGTTCTTCGTCAGGCAGCAGCAGACGAAGTTCCTGAACTCCTTGGAGAAGAGCGCGTCCGCCGGAAGAGACGGAGGATCGTCTTGGACTACTCTGCTCAGTACCTGCAATGAGCAGATCAAATAATAAACTTAGAACGATATATAGATCTGCGGTTGGAAACCAAGCAACTCCTCGCTGAACTAAAAGCAAAAGAATTGCTTTCTAAAGCCTTGTGTTCACAATGCTAGAAATCGGTCCGAGAAATATGTGGCCAATCGACTTGCATCTTTTACAGAAAAACTGCAGTTGACGGGCTACACATTTCTTGGGTCGAGATCTCGGGCCGATTTCTAGCACCGTCGACACAAGACTTGATACACTAAACGTATTTACATGTCGTAATTTAAAAGTTACCAGGTTCTTTCTATACCAACTATGATCACGCAGAGATAACAAAGAGGCCGGAAGAAATTTCCGGCGGAAACTCTACCTCGAAATCAGTCTTGCAGTCTCGATAAGGAAATACTCCCGTAGCTAGTTCCACTAGAGTAATGCCCAAACTCCACACGTCCGCCCTTATATCGTAATCTGGCTTAGTAGGGTCCGGTGGATCTATCCTCTCAGGCTGCACAATGAACGAATAGGAGTGCACGAGATTATTCGACAAGTTTCAACATTTCCCTACGCTGGGATGTACATATCTACTCACAGCCATGTACGCCGCGCATCCCGCGCTTCTCGTCTTCGCCTTGCTGTCGACCAGTCTGCCAGAGATCCCGAAATCGCAAAGTTTCACCCCTCCCGTCTCGTCCAGTAATATATTACTAGGTTTCACGTCTCTATGAATTACACCGTGCTTCTCTTTCAGGTACGACAATGCTTTTACTGTCTACGGAGAGAAAAAAATCGTAATGTAAAATCGTTTTTCTAATCATTTCAAAATTATCACAAAAGCGAAAGCCATTTCAGATTTTAAGAGGAACAAAGTCGAGTAGCATCTCAACTTCGAAAACAATGCACGGTAAAATTATCTTCTCTCTGGATCTACACGTCTCCTCTCCCACTGTAATTTTTCCATAACTCTCGAAGATAGAGGGTCCTAGAGCTCGCGACAAGGCACCGTACAGGCGAGAGCGCCAAGAGAAACTTACTGCTACTGTAACTTTCCCTAAAAAATCCTCCGGTATCGCCTGCCTGCTGCGCTTCAGCAGTTTATCCAGGCACGTCGCCATCAGTTCCATGCAAATCCAAACGTCGGATTCGGTGATGAAACAGCCCAGGCACTGCACAATGTACGGACAGTCGTGCGACTTGAGCACAACGTCGAGATCCATGATTATCCTCTTGTTCTCCTCCGCGTTCCCGGAGCGCCGCATCTGCTTCACGGCGATCACCACGCCGCTCGGCTTATGCTTCATTTTGACCACGTGCCCGCAGGTGCCGTTACCGAGCTCGCCCAGATGCTCCAGATCCTTCATCTCCGTCTGATACCTGTGGCCGTCGATGTTCAGGATGCCGTTCATCTTCATGATCTCCTGCAGCTTCGACTCGACCTCGCTGTCGTGCATCTTTGGCGGCGTCATCTGCGAAACCGGCAGGTCTAGCTGCCTTCTGGGTCGCGTCGGGGTACCCATGTCCACAACTGTCAAGAAACGAGTAATATTTTAATCCATTGCTCCTGTTCCTTTCGCGCCACACGTTTCTTTATAATTAAGCACAACTTCCTTACGATTCAGTGCGTATAAATAAACGTGCGCTGGCCTTAACAAATCAGAATCACGTTGAAAGGCTATTTCACCAAAGAGTCCGTCGAGCTTACAGATTAGATTGATAGATTAGTGTATTATCGAGTGGTTCCTTGATTCAGAATTCAGCTAGATCAATCCCGTATACATTTCGCGTATTTACATTAACGTTACGTCAACGTCCACTCCTAAAGCTGTGACATTTATCGCGCATTCGGTTCCTTGCACTAGTGCGCACTGATTACACACTGAGGCCTGGTTATAATCAATTCTTACATTTAACAAATGATATAGTCTTCAACGACCTACACTGGCCAGTGTTTTTTATTCTTTAAAAAACATGCAACGTTTCGGTCCCAGATTTGGACCCTTCTCAAGCTTTCTTTTCACACAATTGTCATTTGATAATCCACCGCTCGTTTGGCCAATATCATTATCTATTCGGCTAATATCTTACATTTAACTTTGTCTGAATACACGTTGAAAAAATATTTCGTACGGATGCAGTACAGATTATTTCATTGGCCGAGGAATATTTCAAGAGATATTCAAGACGATCCTTAAATATAAGAATTGACTGTAAACAAGCCTCAGCGTGCACTCAGTGCACACGGAAAGAAAACTGGAGCTGCCGCGGCTAAAAACAGCACGTGGCAACTAAATGTCAGTTGTAAACTATGGATAGCTAACATTTGGTTCTGACAGCTAAATATTTTGCTACTGTGCCCGTTGTATTAGGTGCGAACCGTTCGCCGTGCACTAGAAATTCCCAGTTACGGTAGCAAAATATTTTCAGCAAACCACGATTAGCCACGGTAGCGAGGTTTTCTTCGAGGCAAGCACCCAAACTCGCTGTTATTCTACTGCGCCACTTGGTAACCTCTGAATCTTTCGGTCCGGTCTCGAAACTCGAACGAATCAACGGTTCGCGATCTACAAGTGGTTCGGCGAAAAATGGGCGAACGACAAGCGACGGAAAAGGATCCCTGCCGGGCCGGGTCGAGTCACGGGATCAACCGCGGTGGGATCGATCAACAGCCGCGACACGGTCAACATAACCTGTACGCGCGCGCGAACGCGACCACGCATCGCCGGGGCAGGACGGGGATCGTATCGACCCGGGAAGCGGAGGATCCCCGGGCGGACTCGCACGCGTGCCACCAGTGGCGGGCTGCTTACGTTGCCGGGGCCTGCGGAGCGCGGGGCTGGACGCGGGGCCCGCCGTCGCCGAGGACGACGACGACGAAGACGAGGAGTGCAGGCCGACGCCGCCCGGGCCGCCGGCCTCGCCGCCACCGCCGCCGCCGACCTGCCTGTCCCGGTCCCGCGACTCGTTCTCCGCCCGCAGCCGCTCCTCCAGGTTCATGATCTTCTTCTCCAGGGTGCTCGACATCGCGCCCCGCACGCCGTGACTCCTCGGCGCTGCCTGACGCGGCTACGTGTTTGTTTTGTTGTTGGTTTCTTTTCCCTTTTTTTTTAAATGTTTGGTTTTTTTTTACGTACGCCACGCACTCCACCAACGCCAGGCTCACCGGGCTCGCCACACCGCCGTCATGCGCCCGATATTTGACAATTTTCGCATCACTCACACACACGCACCACGCGACACGCACACTCTCTCTCTCT